CTGATGACTGAACTGGTGCAAACTTAGGTTTCATTTACCCGTGTGAGAGGTTTATTTCTCCCTGTGCCTCTCCTGGAAGTTCCCATGGAGTGAAATTCCCAGAATAAGCATGGCTGTAATGCAACCCTGCATCAAACAAACTGCAGTTTGTATGTATAGACCACTTGGCTAATTCCAAAGTAAATAAACACGATGTTGGTCTTAATGTGTTCAGCAGCTTTGTTTCTTAAGAAGGGTGAAGAAAATTGTGTCTTTGGACACTTCCTTCCATAAGATTACAACCGAGGTACTACAAATGTTGAATATTTTGTCTTAAAATAGTTTATTTTGTAAGGATAACAGTTAACTCCTGTCTCTGTGTCTGTAATTGCAAGAAACATCCCACAGAACCCCAGAATGGTTTGGGTTGGAAGGGTCCCTAAAGATCATCCAGTTCCGACCCCCTGCCATGGGCAGGACACCTTTATCTGCAAATTCATCTTCCATTTGTCCTTCTGGCACACTGTGATTTCACCGTGTCTGCAGTGGGGGAAAGCACAAGGCCCTGACAGGGAGCCGAGGGAGGCACCATGAGAAATGATGGCCCCGCATCTCCTGTTTCAGACCTGTTAAAACAATGTCCCTCCCTTCTCCCCTGGCAACAAGTTCCAGGAATGTTCCAGCTACCTGCTGTAATTTTTAACCGTTTGTAGTGGAATTGATGCCTCCTCGTTCCCTTCTCCGGGACCTGGTGAGTTTAATGTCGGTCAGATCTGCTCCCTGCACGGTACTTAAACTAAATCCTAACTGCCTCTGGCCAAGTTGTTTCAGCTGGTGGCCCTTTAAACCTCTTTCTAGACATTCCTCCCTCTGCTGCAGTTGGTAAAACAGAAATAAACCTGCTCTCCGGAGCACGGGCAGCCATGGAAGCTCCGGCCAAAGCGCCCCCAGCGTTCCCCAGCGAGGGAGGCTCAATAAAGACCTGCAGGGCCGATCCGTGGCTCTGGTGTTTCCCTTCCCGCTGTGCCCGCACCGAGCCGAGCCGAGCCGGGGGGGCCGGGCAGGGCTCCCGCTCGGAGCTGCGGAGTTTGGAGCTGCTGTCGCTCTGTCCTGCCGCTCCCCCGTGTCCGTGTGTCAAAGGCCGCTTCCTCGGCCGCCCTCCGCGATAATTAAACGACTTTGCCGTCGTAAACCAGAATCGGGGCGAGTGCCAGAGAGGCGTTAAACTTTTCCGCCGTGACTTTGGCCGTCACCGCCCCCGTGCCCGGTCCCTGCCCGTCCCGTCCCTCCCTGCCGGTCTCTGCACTGCCCCCGACGGCGGCTCTGGCTGTCCCTGCGGTCCCCCCGCAAAACCCATAAACCGCGATCCGCTTTGATGTCGCCTTCAGAAAAGTTCACTTTATTTACAAGGGGGGCTCCCCCCTGTTTACACACGCCCATTTGTAAAATTAGCCAACCCCCCTGACAAAAACGCAAAGGAATGGCTGAGAAATAAATAAACCTCTCCCCCCACTCCGAGGCGGAAAGGCTCCAAGCCAGCGGGGTTCTGCTCCCCCCCGGCCCGGGGCTCAGGCGATCCTGCTGCAGAACTCGTCGAAGTCCCTCTCCATGAAGAGCTCGCTCTCGATCACATCGTCCTCCGAGGGGAAGTACTGCTGGCTCTCCTCCTGCGGGGAACCCGCGGCCGCACCGGCCCCGGTCCCGGCCCGGGCGGGCGGGGAGCGGGCGGCGGCTCCGGGCTCCCCCGCGCACTCCATCAGCGCCCCGCGGGCGTTCTCCAGCACCCCCAGGTACGAGTCCATGTCCAGCGGGTCCATCTCGCAGTCCGACCCGCCGCTCTCGGTGCCCACCGAGTCGGAGCGCAGGTGCATGAGCTGGTACTTCTCCCGCATCAGGAACTGGTTGGTGTTGCGGGGCGCCCGCATGCCCGGCGCCCGCCGGCCCAGCACATTGACGGGCCGCAGGGAGAGCAGCACCCGCGGCCGCGCCGGGCGGTGGCAGCGGCGGAAGGCGCGGCAGTGCTGCTGCTGCAGCTGCTGGTGCTGGTAGTGCTGGAAGTGGCTGTGCGTGCGGCTGCCCAGCAGCTTCCGCGCCCCGCCGGGGACCCTCCCGCGCCGCCCGGGCGGACAACGGGAGCGGCTGCCGCCCCGCCAGGGCTCGCCGCCCTTCAGCGGCGTCGGGGAGGCGCCCCCCGGCACCCCCTCGCCGCGGGCGGGCTCCCAGGGCGGGCACACGATGAACTCCGCGCGTCGCAGCATCGCGGCCCCCCGGCCTCTCACATGCTCCGAGCCGCCGGGACGCCCCCGCCGCGCTGCTCCTGCGCCGTCGCCTCTCCGGCGCGTCCTCCGCTTCTCTCCGGGCTGAGCGGCCGCTTCCCAAGAGCCCTGCGGGGGCCTCTGCGGGCGCCTCTACCTTTTCACGATCCGCTCTGTTTTTTTCTTGAGCGGAGCCCGTTGGCAGCGCATAGCCTGGCTGAACGGCTGCGGGCTGCGGGGCAGCTTGACGGGTTCCAAGCCGCCTCTTCGGAGATGGTCTCGCCTACTCCCCGGCCGGGCGCTGCCGGGCTGTCAGCGCTGCGCCGGGCACGGCGGGCCGGGGCAGGGCCCGGGAGCGAAGCGAGCGAGGGGAGGGGAGGGGAAGGCGCCGAGGCTCAGGGACCGCACAGGGAGCGCGCGCACCGCCCGCCGCCCCGCGCCCACTGCCGACGCGCTCCCGCGCAGCCCTTATTTATCACCTCCGGCGCAGTCCAACTGCCGCCGCGCCGCGGGGGGAGCCGGGGCGGCACAGCCGCTCCTAAGCCGGCCCGTTCCCGCCACACTTAGCCCTCCGCGCCCGGGGATCGCGGGGGCTCCGCGTCACCGCAGCCCGCACGCTCGTATCTCCCGTGTTATCCCGGGTTATCCCGGGATCTCTTCCCCCTTGGGCGCGTTTGGCTTGGCTCAGAGCTGCGGGCGCATTTTGTTCACACCCTATTCACGAAGGCCGTTTACGCTCAGCTCCCCGCGCAAGCACCGTGGCCCGCCCGCTCCTTGCAGCAGCGCCACGCAAACCGCGTACGGCACCCTTCCCTTGCAGCGGCGCTACGCCAACCGCTACGCAAACCGCGTACGGTGCCCGTGAGGGGCGCTGGCGTGGGGTGGGAGGGTGGCGGTGAAATGGCCGCGGGGGTAGCGGGGAGGGAGAAGGGGCGGCCTGAGGCCGGCGCTGGAGAAGCCGCGGCGCTCAGTGCCGGTGCCCGCGGCCGCCCTTTCTCTGCAGCTCCAGGCTGCGGCCGGCGCCACCGGCGGGCAGCGGTGACCTTCCCGCGGGTCCCACAAAATGGTGCCCGCGCCTTCCCCCTCAGCCGCTTCACGCCAGGGCAGTCCCCTCCTGAGGCTTCACGGTTTTTTTTTCTCTTCCCTTTAACCTCTCTGGCTGAATCGGTGCTTTTTCATCAGTCTAGAGTGAAAAACGAGAGCAGAGACATTCATTCGTGTTATTTGGGGAATGTCCCAGTTACTTGTGCTGGGCCTTGGTCCCTCTACCACAAATTTCCCCTGATTTTCCAATTGTTTTGGGTGGCATTTTTCTGCCCTGTATGTAACTAATCGGACAGTGTTCACCCTCTCCCCTCTCCCTCCCAATCTGTTCATGGAACACAAGCTCAGTGTTGCCCAAAGGCTCCCAAATAAAGGCTGTGCATGAACTCCGCGGGCAGCAACTCCCATGCAGGTAACATTTTATTACAATTTAACAGTGAAGGGCAAAGAAGTACAAAATATACTGAGGGAGACAAGGTAAAAATCTGGATTTGGGCTAAGTACGGAGTCAACGTTGCCAAAACCAAATTGCCCACGTTTGGCTGTTTCACTGCTTTAGAGTTTGTATTTCTAAGCAGTGTTTGTTTCAAATTCCATTCAGGAATTATATGGTGTTCCATTTCAACTCAGCTGGTGTTATCACCTGTGTGTTTTACAAACTAAAGGCCAAAATGGAAGGGGTTGGCACTGGAGCAAGCAGCAGCTGTCTAAAATGTGCAGCCTCTGAGATCTGTGGGCATGTCAGAGCAGGGGGAAGCTGCGGTGCTTTCAGAGTTCATGGGTGTTTATAAAGGAATGCCACATCATGGGGTAGAATCCACATCCCGAGTTGTCTCAGGCTTTTTCACAGATGTATTAGGCAGCAGTGTGGCTTGAATAAACTTCTGCCACTCCAAACTCCCCTCCTGGATACAGAACATGCCAGAACTCTGTGTTTGTACAGGGGACTCTGCCCTGGCAACCACATGCACCCAGTCTCTCCTGTCTGGCTGGTCAGCCCAGCTCAGTCTGGCCTCAGTTCCCATTTTCTCTTCTGTTTCTCTGAGTTTGGTGCAGATTGAGTCTGCATTTCTTTTAGCTGTTCTAGAAGGATATAGGAAATTGTGTGTAGAAAGGAGCCTTGTGCTACTCTGTGCAGGAGAGAATTCAGTTAATGTGCCTCTCTTCACATCTGGATTATCTCTAATCCACACACTGACACTGCCCTACACAGACCAGTGAATTCATCCTGTACCCAGTCCTGCAAATCAAAACCTAAAGCTTTTATTGAAACCTTTATTAGTACCTACATCTTTATGAGTAAATAAGTTTTTAGAGCAATTTGAAATAATTACTTGGAGGCAGCTGCACTGTTTGTGCCATTATTGACCCGGCCTTCATTCTCCAGGCTCTGTTCTGGGCAGGGTTCAGGTGTGCAGGCTGGGAATTCTCCTTCCCTCACCTTCCTGCCTCACTTCTATTTTTCCCGGTTGGGATCCTTTTCAAAGCTGTTTTCAGCACAAAAAGTGGAGGAAATGTTTTTTTGATGTATCATGAAATGTTTTGTAATTTCTCAGTGGATGCCAGCCAGCAATAATATTTTTTCAAACCGTTTTCTTTGACATGGGAGAACCCATCTACAAGTTTGGTTTTAAATTTTTTTTAATTTTTTTTTTTTTTTTTAGCAGCAAAGGAGGGACTTCTGTTGTAGCTACTGTTATAAAATTGACTCAAAACGAGTAATTTCCAATCAAAGAATTTATTAATTATCGAAGCAGTTATACTACGTAAGCAAAGGCTCAGCGCTGGGCGACAGGGGGGTTTCTGCTCCACCAACTGCCGCACCAACTAGTTTCTGATTCAGTCCTTTTATCCTCTCCATCCTTCAGGAGTCCATGTTATCTCGGAGTTCTCTGTGCCTGCACTGGTTGTTGCTAGAGGGTCATCCTTCTGTCTCCTGGTGGTTGGTGATAAAGGCTGTGGAGTCTTCCTCAGCTGCGTCTTCTTCACCCTATGTCCTTATTTGGTGACTTCTCCGTGGAAAATTACCAAGATCTTATGATTAACGCAATATGTGCCCTATTAAGCTTAAGCAAGCAAATATCCTGCCTTGCAAACTGTTTATCTGCCCCTGCCCCTTCCCCAGCCTTTCTCTGGTGGTTATTTCTGTGAGTTACCTGCTTGTACCATTTGCTGGGTGGGACTATGTGTGGGCTCCTGCAACCCCTTCCCTGGTATCCTTGTGGCTCATATCTCATGAAGTAGTACAGAAATAGTCAGCAGACAACTCTTGTAACACACTGGTCTCTTTCTCGTGACGAACAAAATGTAGTCTCTCATCTCAATCCCCCCTTTGTTTTGATACTCAATTTTGTTCGTCAAAACGCTCTAATTCCCTTTTGCTGAGCTCCAGAGATTCTTCTGGATTATCCATCTCCTTCAAGGTTTCGTATTTTGCTCGTATGAGCATAAGGTGAGCAGCTTCTAATCTGCCTTTTACAATGCTAATCAATTTATTAAAAATACAAGGGCCAAACGTGAGTCTCAATAGTAAGAGAAGTAGTGGACCCGCTATCGTTGATAATAAAGTTGTAAGCCAAGGAGAATAGTTAAACCAAGATTCATACCAGCTTTGGTGTTCTTCCCTTTCTCTTTGTCTTCTTTCTAGCCCCTCCCTTAGTTTTGCCATTGAGTCCCGTATAATTCTGCTCTTGTTTACATATGTGCAGCATTCTTCTCTTAAAGCAGCACATAGTCCTCCTTGTTGCAGGAATAATAGATTTAACCCCCTTCGATTTTGTAAGGCTACCTCTGCTAGGGAATCTAATGATTCTGTGAGGTCTTTGATGGAGGTTTCGATCCTCCTGAGGTCTTCATCTACAGAGGCTCTTAGTTCTTGGAATCCTTGGTGTTGCTGTATGAGTGAGGCTATTCCTGTTCCTGTCCCGGCTGCACCTATTCCTAGTAACATTGCTACAGTGAAGGTTGTGAATATTTCCCCTTTCACTATGTGGGGTCCTATATTTTGATATTGTTCATAAACGTACTCTACGGGGTGGTAAAGGACTCTGGGTACTATCAATACTTGAATACAAAAGTCACTGGATTCATTAAATCGGTCTATATTTATACATGGGGTGACTCTGAGAGTGTTACAGACCCATTTAGTATTTGCTGCTGGCAGTATCCAGCTGGCAGGTTTCTTAGGGTCACTCAAATTCCCCATAACCTGACATAGATGTCGTTTTTCCACTGGTACTCGTTCTATACATCTTCCTCTCCCCGTTACCCTTGCCAAGGTTATCCCTCTTGATTCTTCTCTTTCTTTTTTCTATAGGCACTTAGCTGGGTTGGTCCCATTTACTCGTCTGATTTTTGCTGTTACCCCTATGGCTTCATAGAACGGGGGGTTTACGGTGTAACACAGCCAACATTCCTCAGTTAGATTTGGATGGGTCTCATTCAGGACTTGGAAAGTGGCCTGTAATATTTTCTACAAGTCTCCTTCTCCTGGGTTTTCAGGTCTTCGGGTCGAATCAGTAAAGTTTTGCTTATACATTTCTGGAAGACTAGTGGTTGGGGCTGTTTCTGATTCATTTCCATTATTTTCTTCTAGCATTAGTTCTCCAGCTATCGCCTGGTTTGGTCCAATTGGTTCGGGGTCGTGTGGCACGGTTGTCTTTTGGATCATAAAGTGCCCCCCTCTGTCTATCCCTGGTTCCCATAATCGGGCTCCCCACATTTTCCCTAATAACCAGACTTGGTCATGTGGATTTGTCACATTAATGTAAATCATATTGCATGTTCCATCTAACCCTCCTTGTTTCTGGGTATATGTGGAAGTGGGCTGTGTACACCCGTATGGACCCCATCCAGTTCTGATAAACTCGTCCTCGTTCCCCCCAAAGGAGCTTACTGATACACAGTCCCAATAAGCACAGTAAAAGTGTCCTGGATAGTTACAATACCCTTTTCCTGGGTTTGAGCTTGGACAAAAATAATATCCAAACTGATTTAAACATGGATTTACAGGTATTAAATCACACAAAGTACATAAAAAGCTGGGTGCGCCAGACGTGATTTTGGTCTGGATAACATACTGGTCTTCCCATCTAATCAGTGACCATTTGAAGGGTTGATGTGAATACCCTTCTGCCCCTGAACTTGTTACAATGCAAAAGAACAGAATTAACGCTTGTAATTTGCGGCTGTCATTGTCGGAGCTCAGGTTGAATTTTACCTTTGGTTTCCCCAGCGGTGGGTTACCAATCCTGGGGCAGGATGGCCAACATTTCCTGGACATCTCATATGGGGGTCGGGGCTTCCGACGGACTCCACTGGTTATTATGTCTCTGCCACGCCCGACGACTCGGTTGCTGTGAGTCTCGGGGTCTACCATCTTCTCGGCAGCAGAGGTATTCTTCAGGAGCCGGATAAACCTCCCGTTTCCACTTTTTAGCACCGGCGGCCCAGTTATCAGCTTTTATTAACGGGAGGCCACACCGCAAATTGGGGGCTTTCTTCTGACACACCACTTCCAGGATGTCCAGGAGAAAGGGGATCGGTTCGTTAGGGTGGTAGCAGAACCGATCAGGATTTACCCCTTTGGAAAAGGTTTCCCACCACTCGTCAGATCCAAGCTTTACCTCCTCCGTAGCAACTCTGCTACTAAGAATGATAGAAGTTAGTCTCCTCTCTTTCTCATAGCACGGCATACAAATTCCCCTAGGTGTTCTACCACTCCGACAATGAGACCACCAAGGTTCGTGACACAATTTACAGGAAAATCATACAAGGGGGTGACAGTCACAATCTAACCAGTTACACTTCAACCTAATATCTTTGTTCTGTGCTTTTTCCCCCTCCCACGCATGCCCTTTATGTTCTAATCTCGGAGACTTAAAGTAGGGCTTTCTCAACTCGTCCTCTAAGAGTTTGCAATATCCAAGAGCCTCCCGATTCCCTATTAGCTGGGTTTGGAGATAATGGTTATCTCCAACCCAGATTGTTATCTAAATCATTTATTAGTTCGTTTCAGCTTTAATTTGGTTTCTCCCGGGAGGCTGCAAACCTCCCAGCTGTGAGGGGGTTTTACCGGTCCTTTTACGCGACTAGCATGAGTCCATCCTTTTTCAGCGGTTCGTATGGCGGCTTCTGTGCTGAGGAGTACTTGGAACGGTCCTTCCCACCTTGGAGTCAAGGGGTTTTCTTTCCAGCTCTTCACGATCACCCAATCTCCTGGCTGTACCTGGTGTAAGATAAAATCTAAAGGAGGCCGTTGTGCTAACATACCTTTTTCCCATAATGCCCTTCTGTATTTTGTCAATTCCACCAAATATTTTTGTGTACATGTGTCATTAATGACAGGATGTTCGTTAGGATTTTCTAGGTTATACGGCATCCCATACATCATTTCAAAGGGTGATACCCCTAAATCAGCTCTAGGTCTTGTTCTTATATTTAGCAACGCTAGAGGAATACATTTAACCCAGGTCAAATTGGTTTCTGCTACCAGTTTGGTCAATTGCTTTTTTATTTCTCCATTCATTCGTTCAACTCATCCAGAGCTCTGGGGATGCCAGGGGGCATGTTGTTCCCACCGTATGCCCAGAGCTGTTGCTAAGTTTTGGGTAACTTGGGAAATAAAATGCGGCCCTCTATCTGAGTCAATGACTTCTGGGACCCCATATCTCGGGATTATCTCTTCCATCAATATTTTCGTAACTACTTTGGCTGTTTCTCTTACGGTTGGGAAGGCTTCCACAAAATGTGTTAGGTAGTCCACCAAGACCAATAAATATTTGGTTCTCCCTACTTTGGGGAGCTCGGTGAAATCTATCTGAATGTGGGAGAAAGGCCTTTTTGCTAGCGGTCGGCCTCCCTCCAGTAATTTAGGCATCCTCTGGTTACTTGTTTGGCAATGTCTCAGATTCCCACACTCACATACTTTGCAGCAAAATAATCTACCAGTCCTTGTGATCCCCAATGTGTTTTTTGATGTATTTTAGTCAGTAATCTATGTGCCAGTGCTCTAGGTATTATTTCTCTGCCATCTGATAATTTCCATGCTCCTTGTGCATCCCTTTTTGCTCCTAGTTTTTGTATTTTATTCTCTTCCTCTTTATTAAACTTGATGTCGGGGTCAGGTTCTGGCGTTTGGGAGTGTTCTATGTTTTCCTGCAAAGTGAGGCGTCTCAGGGCAGCCCGTTTAGCCTCCTGGTCAGCTGCATTATTTCCCCTACTTCTCAAATCCAGTCCTTTTTGGTGACCTTTCAAGTGAACTATAGCTATTTTTCGGGGTTTTCGTAGGGCACTGAGCACATCTAATATTAATTTATAGTGAACTAAATCTTTCCCTTGTGAATTTTTTAGTCCTCTTTCCTCCCATATCTTGCCAAATGTATGGACTACCCCATAGCTATATTTCGAGTCCGTAAAAATAGTCCCATCTTTTCCTGTTAACCATTCCAGGGCTCGTAGTACAGCATATAGTTCACATGCTTGGGCGGACCAGGATCCACCAAGGGGTCCCGATTCTATCACTTCCAGGTTGGGTCCCCTTATTATAGCATATCTTGATTTTCTCCTTCCCTCAACTACTCTGGAGGATCTATCCACAAACAGTCTTTCTCCTTTTTCCAATTCTTCTTCTTCCAAATCTGGTCTGATTTTTGTTTGTTCTTCTATAGTCACTATACAATCATGTGTTAGTGCTTCTTCTGGTCCTCCATATAAGAAGGAAGCTGGATTTTGGATATTAGTAGTTTCTAGAGTTAAATTTGGAGCCTCAATTAATATTCCTTCATATTTTAAAACCTTTGTGTCTGAGATCCATTTTTCAGCCTTTTGCTGTAAGACTCCCCGTATGTTATGGGGGGACAGCACTTTCAGGCTGCTATTAAATGTAATTTTCCGGGCTTCTTCTACCAAAAGAGCACATCCTACAATTGCTTGTAAGCACGTAGGCCATCCTCTGCTTACTGGGTCCAAGATCTTTGATAGATAAGCCACTGGTTTCCTTTTCTCTGCCCATTCTTGAGTAAGGACCCCATATGCGACCCCCTTGTCTACGTTTATGAACAAAAAGAAGGGTCTATTAGTATTAGGTAAACTTAATACCAGGGCATGGATTAGGCTCTCTTTAAGTTCTTGCAGCCTTTCGGTGTCCTCCTGATCCCATTTTAGGAGTCCCTCTTGAGTAAGTTTCTGATACAAGAAAGTCGCCTTACTACTGTAGTTTTCAATCCATTGACGACAATAACCAGTTAGTCCAAGTATTTGCTTGATTTGTCTCTTATTTCTTGGAATTGGTAATGCTAAAATCGCCTGTATTCGTTCGGGGTCTATTCTCTTCTCTCCTTTCTTTAGATAATGGCCTAGGTATTTTACTTCTTCTTCGACAAATTGTAGTTTTGCCTTGGCGACTTTCAATCCCTTTAATCCTAAAAAGTTCAATAACTTAATACTTTCTTTCCGTACATTCTCTTCCTGCTGCCCCGCCAGGAGTAGATCATCTACGTATTGGATTAGTGTAACCCCTGGCCCCACTTGGTAATCCTGTAAAATTTGCTCTAAAGCCTGCCCGAAGAGATTAGGGGACTCAGTGAATCCTTGAGGGAGTACCGTCCATCTTAATTGTTGTCTCCTCCCCATATCGGGGTCTTCCCATTCAAATGCAAAATAATCCCGGCTTTCTTGACTGTGAAGTTTGGCTATCGGGGTCCATTCCGGAGTACAATCGTAAGTTCCTCCGTAATCTCTCGAGCCATTCCGTAGGCGACTCGTCCTTCTTTTGCCTATCGTTGAATGCCCGATCTATATTTTGCCCCCTCGGGACTGAGTCCCTAATCCCCTGAATAATTATGGTCTTTAAATCCTGCATATGTGTTCTATGTGCCGCATTTTGGTGGTCCCAATGGAGGTTCTGTAGGGGCCATTTAGTGTCCGCAGCCGGGCCTTGGGCATGCTGTGTGTCCCAAATACGCATTCCTTCCCTTCTTATCATATTCCGTTCTTCAGTAGAGAACAGAATGCCCAAAATGGACTGCATTTCTTCCCAGGTATAGATGTTTGGTCCTAAGAACTGGTCAACCCTCTCGGCTACCCCAAAAGGGTCCTCTAATAGATGTCCCATGTCCTTCTTAAAGTCTCGTACATCTGCCGAACTCAAGGGGACAGTAATAAATCCTATACCCGCCTGTGGTCCACCCATGGGCATCTCCCGTAGAGGGAATAACCCCGTCTCAACCCTACTGTGGCTCCTTGTAATCGGGCCTTGGTAACCGGTTTGGTTAACCTCCCCTTGGTTACCCTCCTCATCATTGTTCGGTGCAGGTGGTTGTGGAGATGGTGGGGCATTGGGTGCTGGCGGCGGGACATATGGGGGCGGTGCTATAATTAAGTCGCCCAAATGATTGTCCCTCTTCCCCTTTTTGTCCGGATCCCCTTTTCCTTCTCTTAATTGGAAAACATACACTTCGGGTCTTACTACCCATATTTTGGCATTTGGCCTTCTCTTGCGAGAAGGGCTCTTTAGAATTTACCCATAGGTTCAAGTCCTGTCGAACCCAGTCTTCAGATGATCCAAACACGGGCCAGAAAACGTTTTTGGAAATCTCTTTCCCACCCCATACTTCCACGCAATAATGTATCATTCTGGCCTTATCCTTAGTCTCGGTCCCCGGGTAATGTTTCCAATTACTAAGCATGAATCCTAGGAGACTGTCCCTTGGAATGGGGTCTTGCTTTTCCCCTGCCCCATTCGTCCGGAGTGCCTTCTTTCACTCTCAAATTCCTTTCACTTCCCCTTTTTCGTGGCCCGAGCCCTTCGCGGGTCTAGGGGAACCGCACTACTCAAGGGTCCGCACTCACTTGGAGAGTCCGGCTGCCGGCCCTCCTCTCATTCACACTTGTCCACCGCCACACTCCGGGATCCCAACCCCGCCCGAACGGATTCCCTTTTATACTCACGCGTCCTGCGTCTTCGTCCGGACTCCGTGCACAGATTATTAAGGGGGTCACCGGTATAATTTGTCCCGTTTGCTTACTAGTATATATTTTAGGGTCGTCGGTGAGAGTGGCGGAGGTTCTCCCAGAGGGGCCACCCAGGAAGCACTGGATGAGGCGCCCCCCACTCTGGGTAGATCTACCCGATCCAAACTCTCATCCGAGTCACAGCACCAAATTGTTATAAAATTGACTCAAAACGAGTAATTTCCAATCAAAGAATTTATTAATTATTGAAGCAGTTATACTACGTAAGCAAAAGGCTCAGCGCTGGGCGACACGGGAGTTTCCGCTCCAACTGCCGCGCCAACTAGTTTCTGATTCAGTCCTTTTATCTTCTCTCTCCTTCAGGAGTTCACGTCATCTCGGAGTTCTCTGCGCCTGCGCTGGTTGTTGCTAGGGGGTCATCCTTCTGCCTCCTGGTGGTCGGTGATGAAGGCTGCGGAGTCTTCCTCAGCTGCGTCTTCTTCACCCTATGTTCTTATTTGGTGACTTCTCCGTGGAAAATTACCAAAATCTTATGATTAACGCAGTATGTGCCCTATTAAGCTTAAGCAAGCAAATATCCTGCCTTGCAAACTGTTTATCTGCCCCTGCCCTTTCCCCAGCTTTTCCCTGGTCGTTATTTCTGTGAGTTATCTGCTTGTACCATTTATCAGCAGGAAAGGTTTCTCTGCTGGGTGTTTATCTGCCCCTGCCCTTTCCCCAGCCTTTCCCTGGTCGTTATTTCTGTGAGTTATTTGCTTGTACCATTTGCTGGGTGGGACCATGTGTGGGCTCCTGCAACCCCTTCCCTGGTATCCTTGTGGCTCATATCTCATGAAGTAGTGTAGAAATAGTCAGCAGACAACTCCTGTAACACACTGGTCTCTTTCTCGTGACGAACAAAATGTAGTCTCTCATCTCAGCTACAGCCTTAAGAATTGGTATTTTGAGATATTTAAGAGTATCCCTTTAACGGAGGTAAGGTCGAGCTCCCTAGAGGAGTTCGGTAGAGGCCCTTAGTATCCAGTTACTGGGAGAAGCCCAGCGTCCTGCTCTCGGTGACTCAGAGCCGGGTGGGGTTTTCAGGACACCCAGCACAGCTCCTGCCGGGGCTTAGGCTCGGGTGCCTGGCGCACGGACCGAGCCCCTTTCACCGCCGCGCCGTGAGGGGAACTGCCGACCACGCCCCGGCCGTTCGTCAGGCCCCGGCCCCGCCCCGCCCCGCCCCGCCCAATCAGGATTTTCCCGAGCTGCCTCGCACCGCCGTGACGGGCCGCCCCGGGTCAGCTTTCACCCAATGAGCGGCCGCCTTACAAAGCTCCTCTGTGCGGCCGCAGAGAGCCGCGCGCTGATTGGCCATGGCGCTGGCGGCGCTTCCGGCCATGCTGCGCCGGGCGGTATTGCATCATGGCGGGACGGAGGTGAGCGGGGGGCCCGGCTGCAGCCTCGGCCCCTCACGGCCCCGCCGGCCGGGCTGAGCTCCGTGCGGGCGGCTCCGAGACGCCAGGGTGGGGCTGCTCCAGCGCCGTGCCGGGGAGCGGCACCTTTAGGGTGTCCCGGGAGAGCGGCGGCTCCCGAGCCAGCAGTGCCGGTGCTGTCACCGCGGGAGCGGCTCCGGCCGGGCTGGCGGCTCCCTGCGGCCTTGGGCGTTGTTAGCTCGAGTTTTGCGTGTACAGCGTCCCGTTCATGTGCGTGTTTTACTGCCTGGGTGCTGTGCGGATTCTTTGCTTTTTCGGCAATTTAGGGATTATTTATAGGAGGTGCTTATTAAAGGTTAGCCTGGTGCCTTATTGCAGGGCTTAATGCTTAGCAAGTCTTGGTTTCATTAGTTATTTGTATTGCAGGGCTTAATACTTAGCAAGTCTTGGTTTCATTAGTTATTTGTACAAAGAATTTAAGGTCCCTTACAACGTGTAATGTGTCTTAAGCATTCCCTTCAGCATCCTGTTAACAGAGGGGCTGATGAATGCACCCTTATTATTGCTACAGCTGTGGTGATTTTGATATCTCCAGCAAACCTTGGCTTCCGCACCCCGGGAGCCTTTCAGAGACTTTAATTCGGTTTGGTGGTGACACGATTAGAAAGCAGCTGTCAGGTAATCGGGTCCAACCGAATTCAGCTGTCACATAAAAGCAGCGTTCAGTAACTCAGCTGACGCTGGTTTCTGAGTGTTTATTAAAAAGACATAGTTCAAAGTTATTTCAAGATAACCTAGATTTCTTTTGTTCACACGATGTTACATTTTTAATCAAGGCTGCATGATGATGACAAACATTTCCTAAGCCATCACAAGATACAGTGTAAAACTGGGCTCTTGCATAGCATGCAGTTTTTGTATCTAAGGACAGCATTAATTGATGAGTGTGATTATTGCTTTAGCAATGTTTTAATTGGCCTTTCAGTGTTAAAGGCAATCCTTGAAGGGGGATAGCTGGGCTGGTGTTGCAGTTTTATTCCCTGTACGAGACACAAGATTTTCAGAAGCAATGTTTGTTCTGTAGTTCAGCATTCTGCTCCCATCCTTCTTTCCTTTTGTTTTAAACTTGGTTGTTTCCACCCCTTCTAGAAATTGAGAATTTTGATGATCAGGTTTAGACTGCTGTTACCCGAGAACAGGACCTGAGAAGTCAGAAGTGGGAGGCCAGGTGTGGAAAATAGAGCATTGTTTAACTTTAGAGAAAGCAGCTGTAGGTGGAGAAAGAAAGCTCCTTGTCTTTGGAGGGAGCTTTGGTCTCTTTTACAGAAAAGTTTGTGGGAGAAGGTGACTGGAACAAGAGTAAGAGACTGATGATAAACCCCTGGAAATGAGAAACCTTTTGTACACCTTTAGTTCATCCTGTGTTTTTATACTTACCATTTCTCAGTCAACAAAATGATTATTATCATGAAATCCACTTTGTTTTAATCATATATCTGATGTATGGAAAGTACAAAAATATTTCTCAAATGTGGGTTCACTTTATTCATAGTGGTGTTTTAATTGAATTTTTATTGTTTTTTTAAAAATGAATATTTTTAAAAAGTACATGGGAACTTGCTTTTATGGTGTTAATGCATGTTTTTTTTCTTGTAGATAAGAAGCCCAGCTTAAGTCTCTGTCTGCTGTAGCACAGTCTCCAAACTGACACCTTTGCTAGTGAATGTTGTTATCCTCTAGAAAAGTGAGTGTACTTAATAAAAACTTGCTTAATGGTGCATTGTCTTTTACACTTCTTATCAGCAGCAAATGCACAGAGAACGCTCCATGTGTTTACTGATCTCTGTTAATGTGAGGTGTTGTCTGAAAGTGAGGTTTTATTAGATGTGTTTATATAATTTCTGTAATGTGATTTGTGATGTTTTTGTTCAGTCTGTGTTCAAAGTAATGAAGTTGTCCTTTATTATTTTGGGTTTGAAAATACCTAGATTGCTTATAATAAGCTTCTTTCTGTTCTGTAGAGATATTCACACTCTGTCTATAGAATGATTGTTAGATCTTGGCTTTTTTTCTCAGCTGAAGTTGAGCCATGGCAAGATTTTCAATATGCTTTTTGCCTTTTAAGTCAGTCTGTTCAAAATTCTGTTGAAAATTCTACATTTCTATAAAATTCTGGTTTATAACTTGGAAGATATAACCGGTAATGATGGTTGCACATGAATTCCCAGCAGTATTTACTCCCCCCTGCTCCTGATGCAATAAAGTGGTGCTGTTGCTGAGGGTGTGGATGGTTTGTGCCCTGTGGTTGCTGGACACTGCTGTGCCTGTGCAGTGCTTCAGTTGGAGGATGGGCCCACAGTGACCCTGGGGCAACGCAGGGAGGCTGTGAGCCCTGAGCAGCCTCCTCAGCCCTGCCTCAGGCACAGCCCACAGCAGCCTGCCTCTGCTTCCTGACAGCTGGCCAGGCTCCAAGCACTTGGGAGTTGCACTGACGGTTTGGGAGTTGCACTGACGGTTTGGGAGTTGCACTGACGGTTTGGGAGTTGCACTGACGGTTTGGGAGTTGCACTGACGGTTTGGGAGTTGCACTGAGGGTTTGGGAGTTGCACTGAGGGTTTGGGAGTTGCACTGAGGGTTTGGGAGTTGCACTGACGGTTTGGGAGTTGCACTGACGGTTTGGGAGTTGCACTGACGGTTTGGGAGTTGCACTGACGGTTTGGGAGTTGCACTGATTTACACTGAGCTGGGGCTGAGCAGAACATGCAGATCCTGGAGCTGTTGTATTTGAGTTCCCCTCAGACAAAGGAAGGAATGATGCATCTGACTCCATGTTCTCAGAAGGCTAATTTATTCTTTTATGATTCTATATTATATTAAAGAATACTAAACTATACTAAAGAATACAGAAAGGATACTTACAGAATGCTAAAAGATAATAATGAAAACTCCTGACTCTCTCCAGAGTCCCAACACAGCTTGGCATTGATTGGTCATTAAGTCAAAATAATTCACACCAGAAACCAATGAAACAATCTCCAAACATTCCAGATGAGCAAAATACAGGAGAATCAAATGAGATAAGAATTGTTTCCCTTTTCTTTGAGGCTTCTCAGCTTCCCAGGAGAAAAATCCCAGGCAAAGGGATTTTTCAGAGGATGTCAATGTGACATGGAGCTGAGTAGAACATGCAGATTCTTAAACCTCAGGTCAGCTGGCTTGTGGGAGATAAAAGCTTCAAGCTGAATTCTTTTATCATTTCCATTGTCTCAGTGATCAAGTCACTGAGAAAGGACACAGCCTAATCAGTGCTTTGAGGCAGAATGGTGAAACCTCTCCTACAGGTTGTGTAGAGCAACTCACTGGCTCAGGCTGGCTATTACCTTTTAAAATACATCCAGGCCATGTCCACATGTTCCTTGTCAGCCCCTGGTTTCCCCTTCAAATGCTGTGTTGCCTGTGCACCAGGTTGTGGGATTCTCAATTATAATAATGTGATAAAGGATAATTTGGGTTTGTTAGTGGAGAGAATGATTTGTCATGAATACAGAAGTGGTGGAGTTGGTCTGTAACACATTTTTTCATAGGGGTTCAAGCCTTGAGCTGGCAGGTTTTGTGGTGTTCTGGGTTCTGTTTAAGGAAATGTTTTAGAGCTTCAGCTGTAACTGGAAGAATTGTCTTCATGCATTTGCCTTTGTTGCTGCTTTATGGTTAGTATTTACAAACCTGAGTAAATCCCAGGACTCAGGCCTTGTGCTGTTACTTGTCATTCTCTAATGCTGAGTGAAGCTCAAAGCTGTAGTAGCTACTTCTGGTGTAAGTGTGCTCAGGAGCAGCAGCACTGAAGTGAGAGATGGAAGAGCCCTTTTATCTTCTAACATCATCTGTTACAACCTTCATAACCAATTTTCTCCTGTTAGGGAGCTGCTGTCTTAAAACACCTCAGAGCTTTGTTTTGTCCTTGCTGTGGCATTTTATTGAAATCTGACCCCTTTCTATCTCATTGCAGCTCTGGAACCAGGCACCTGCTGTGTGTTCCTAATTATGTTGAGAATTCCTCTTCCCTGTGTTGTTTGTACAGCATGGAAGTGGCCTGTACAAGTTTTAATGTACTTATAAAACTCATGTTCATGTTTGCAGTTTTTCAACTGTGCTCTCTGCAGCCTGGCTGCTTTTAGGGGCATCTGAGATTGCTGGCACAGCCTGATGGAAAGTGTTCTTTTAAGCATCTCAACAGTTAGTGAATAGATGTACAGGGCAAAGTTGCTCCTTCTTCAGTAGTTTCAAGTGAAACTCTCTGATACAAACTGGTGCTGAAGGGTCAGTTTGAACTCAGAAGCTTTTCCTGAAGAAAAAAAAACCTGTAACCAAAACATAATTTACCCTTTGACTGTTTTCTCTGGGAAACAGAAATAAAAACATGATAAAAAAGGGAACAATCATAGTTGAATGAATGGAAAATCCTTTTCCTGTTCCAAAACTTCGGTGTGAGTCAGTCAAAATTAGGCTTTTTTTTTAGAATGGAGTGCTTGCTTCCATGCCTGCAATGAATCAAGCTCTTTGGATTGGTGATATGGATTTGAAAGATAAAAGTTCTATTTGTGGAGTTATTTTTTCTCACTTCTGTTCAATGTGTATTTTTCTCTTATTGCTCCTTGTTGGGAAAGAATGGTTCAACAAGTTCCAGAAAACATAAATTTTCCAAATGAGGAAGAGAAGATATT